GTATCTCTATGGGTCTCTATATCTATGAGTCTCTATGTATCTCTATGGGTCTTTGTATATCTATGAGTCTCTATGTATCTCTATGGGTCTCTGTATATCTATGAGTCTCTATGTATCTCTATGGGTCTCTGTATATCTATGAGTCTCTATGTATCTCTATGGGTCTCTGTATATCTATGAGTCTCTATGTATCTCTATGGGTCTCTGTATATATGAGCCTCAATGTATCTCTATGGGTATCTATATCTATGTGTCTCTATGTATCTCTATGGGTCTCTATATCTATGTCTCTATGTATCTCTATGGGTCTCTGTATATCTATGAGCCTCAATGTATCTCTATGGGTATCTGTATATCTATGAGCCTCAATGTATCTCAATGGGTCTCTGTATATCTATGAGTCTCTATGTATCTCTATGGGTCTCTATGAGTTTCTCTGTGTTCCTCTGTGTCTCTACAATACGGTTCACAGCTTGGGGTCGCGTGGCCACAATGGCACTCCAATGGCCTGCGTCTTTAATTTTCCATTCAAGAAGGAAGACGCACACATCGTCCTGTTGTTGATGTCCTGATGCGGTCACGGGTCACAACCACCGGTGGCCTTGAGGAGGAGGAGGGACCTCATAGCCAGGTGGAGCGATGTTTCTCCGTCTACCAGGTGGGCGAGCAAGTCGCCTTGTCTGCCCGTCATCTGGCACCAGCTGTACTTTGATGCGATCTCGCTGTGCGCGCGCGGTGCAATGTGGAGCAGCAACAGGAGCGCAGTAAGCGCGGGGCAGGAGGGGGGGGGGGGCCTTGACCCTCGACCCTCCCGCCCCCCCTGGTGGCCAAAGCTACGAATTGGAGCTCCCTTGACAACCACCATGGGATCTATACTCTTTGGTTCTATTCGGTAAAGTCACGTAGGTAAAAAAAGAAAACAACAAAAATCACGACGTTTCGGCCACAACACAAGCGGCCTTCATGAGGTGAAAGGACCAGACAGCCTGGTCCAGACAGTCTGGTCCCTTCACCTGATGAAGGCCGCTTGTGTTGTGGCCGAAACGTCGTGATTTTTGTTGTTTTATTTTTTTACCTACGTGACCACAGTCTGGTCCCTTCACCTGTTGAAGGCCGCTTGTGTTGTGGCCGAAACGTCGTGATTTTTGTTGTTTTATTTTTTTACCTACGTGACTTTACCGAATAGAACCAAAGGGTATGGATCCTTGCAGTCACGAAAGCTTCAAATCTAGAACCATGGGATCTGTTTTCAACAAAAGTGTAAACAAAAAAAACGGATTTAAAACGCGGTTTAAACGTATTTTTGTTTTACGAAAATGCTTTCACTTATGCTCCACGTTTTATTTTAATTTGATTAGAGCAGTAACGTAATATTGCAAAGAGGCACAACTACGGAGCTTTCGAGGCTGCATTAGGCGAAGATGGAGTGCTCCATACAGCGTTAAGTGTTCGAGATCGTGAGCGTCCACGATGCGATTAGGGCAAACGGAGCCGCGATATACAGAGTGCTTCAAAAACACGTTAACACTTCGGAGAATTTCCAACAATACCAGAAGACATGTGCTGCATCCGGGCGCGGAGACCACCAGGATGAGATTCCAGGCACGTGTTGACGATGGTGGCGAACGAGTGGAGACTCTTTGACTTTTTAAAGCAATTAACATTACATTTGTTATCATGTTACAGTGTAATATCCGTTATTTTTCCATTAAAAACGATAGTCCCATATAAGTGTTCACATATAGGGGCCCCACCGGTATGAATGTCCGCGCACCCTGAGCTGATAATGTCGCTACTACGCCACTGTGGAGCATTCACAACACGCACATGCATGGGGGCTGGATAACCCCGACACAAAAAATAGTATTCTGACAACGCATTTTATTGTCCGTGTTACAGAGCAGTGTTGATGCACATCCGCGCAGTAAGATGTGTGTCGTTCCGAGAACACCATGACCCGATATCCATATACATGTTTATTGGTGTCCATAGAGGCCGTCCATAAATGACGTCACGCACTTGGGGCGGGGGTCAGACATTTGTGACGATGTGTGACGAGGGGGGGGGGGGTGGGGGGTTTGAGAGATGTGACGTCACATCAAACACGTTCTACTTAATTAAATAGACTTTTCAATAAATGTTTTCTCCTACAACATCAGAGTGCAGCGCCACATTAAATACGCACTACAATGACAATAGGTTAAAGCGATTTGAAGCATGTTTTATTTGGGGGGGAGGGGCAGAGCTTTGTGACGTCATATTTGAGGGGGGGGGGTCTGACTTTTTGTGACGCCGTGTGACGAACGGGGGGGTAAAAAATCGTCCAAAATCGCGTGACGTCATTTATGGACGGCCCCATACCACAATTAATTTAGAACATTGCTCTGCAAAGTTCAGACCGCGTCTCAGCATTGCAAGATATGAAATAAACGTGACCAATAGTTTATGATTTTAAGCTGAACTATGAGTGGTGAAGTATGGTCAATTAAAATCAAAAACTCAACCTTCATCACCGACACGGCGTGGAGGAAAGGCTTTTTCAGCCAGGATCAGAATGACAATGGACTATGGATACCTATACTGTGCCGTTGATATTCAACTAATCATTTGGTAAATCTGCTGCTCCTTGCGTTGGCAGTGCTGCACATTCGTTAATAACGCTGTGGCTTTAAAATATAAAAAAAATCGGCGACGCTTCAGGCAATGGCTCTTCTTCATAGCACGTAAAATAAACCCGTTTAAAAAAAAAATCAGGTCCACAACACACCGATAATCGATGTTTTATGCATGGCCACAATGAACCTCTTACTTTATGAGTCCCAGCAGGTGATACAATCTTGTGAAAGAAGAGATGGCTCCATATCGTTACAGTGGAGAGTGTTTCAAATAATTATTACGCGTGTTGAGATTGGTGGAAGACCGTGCCGGAGGTCTTCATATAAAACGTTTGGTCTGTAGCTTCAGCCCTCGTATTTTAGCGGAGTACCTCTATTTGGATCAGCTACGAATTGCCAAGGCCACTTGCAAGCACAAAAAAAGATCACAGCGACAGCAGTGGCTACAACCAAAAGGCCACGCACGTTCGCAATGGTGACGTTGAGTCTCGTGGTGGGTGGGGATGCTGTTGCCTGCACCCAGGCGAGGTAGTTAACGTCTATGGCACGGTGTCGAGACGTGAATGACCTCGCCTGGTATGCAGGAGGTCGTGGGTTCGACCCCGACGCCTGCTGTATTTGGAGTTTGCATTTTCTCCGTGTCCTCCGGGGGTTTTCCCTCCACATTTAGAATCAACGCATGCGTTTAGAGTATTTGGCTGCTATACATGTCCACACGATAAGCCACTTCGTTGAGCTATAATTTGTGGCCAATTCGCTTCCGAAATATAGCTGTTTAGCTCAGTGAACCTAACTTTGTAAAAATAAAAGTTTTGTTTTTGGTTTGTGGGACGCATAAACAGTGATGCAACTTTGTCCATTGTTGCATTCCATTGTTGTACCGTACTATCCTTCAGTAACGATGCTTCCTTTACCTTCGCCGGCCACGCGCTGGTCAGAAGTGGTGAAGTATGGTCAAACAATCCACAAAACGTTGCACTCAAGGGCTGTAACCAGCAGCGGCGTCAAATAACGTGTGGGACAGGCAGTGGGTGCCTTGCCGCCCTCCTGGTGACCAAAGCTACCACTTGGAGCGCCCCTTGACAACAACCACCACGAGATATGGTTTCAACAACAGTGTAAAAGAACAACAACAACAACACTTATTATTTTTCATGAGAACGCTTACTGCTAAGGCGACAGGAGCCGCGCGATATGTAATAGCCGAGGTGCGACCGTGCGAGACAAATCAAATTATTGGGGTCCCACCTAACTACATTATTTATGAGCACCCCCTGAGCTGATAATGTAGTTACTACGCCACCGACTGTAAACTGTTATCACTATAATAATATTTAAATAATCATTATTATAACATTTTGAATGTGTTGTCAAATAACCTTCACGACCAGAAGTGTGTTTTTTAAACTATTTTTTTTACCAAATAAGGCCCGACTGAGCTTTGTAGCTTTTATTCAGAAGCCACCTGGCCACAAATGAGAGCCCAACGAAGTGGTTCATCATCGTGTGGACATTTATCGCAGCCAAATACTCGAAACGCGTGTGTTGATTCTAAATGTGGAGGGGAAAAAAACGGAGGACCCCGGTAACAAAAAAATCCTACGCGACCACGGGGCGAGAGACACGCAAACTCCAAACATACAACAGGCACCGGGGTCGGAATCGAACCCACGGCCTCCTGCATACCTCCAAACATACAACAGGCACCGGGGTCGGAATCGAACCCACGGCCTCCTGCATACCAGACGAGGTAGTTAACATCTCGCCACCACGGCGGCGGGGGCGGGGGGCTCATCCAACAGTGGATTGATTATATTTCGATTTAAAGCTTTCGTGACTGCAATGATTCATCTTCTTTGGTTCTTTCGGTAAAGTCACGTAGAATGAGAATAAAATAATAAATTGATAAAATAAAATAACACAATAATATTCTCACGACGTTTCGGCCACAACACAAGCGGCCTTCATCAGCGCTGTCCTACCAGACAGTCTCGCCCCCTTCACCTGATGAAGGCCGCTTGTGTTGTGGCCGAAACGTCGTGAGAATATTATTGTGTTATTTTATTTTATCAATTTATTATTTTATTCTCATTCTACGTGACTTTACCGAAAGAACCAAAGAAGATTGATTATATATTTTTTAAGCAGCCTGTTGCGTGTACAATTAAGCGACACAGTGAGTTGAGGGAGGGAGATGGCGAAAGATCAGCGCGGTGCGGTTCTGATTGGTGATTGCATCCTTTTCCTGCTTGCAGCGGCTTGATAAGAGTGCGAGCGCCGGGTTTTTGGGGTGGTGGTGGTGGTGGTGGGTTGGGTGGGCTCACGTTAACCACGTGGTGGCGCGCGGCTCTTGGGGTTTATCGGTGCTGGGAACATTGTTCATCGGTCACCGAGACAGATTAACCATTGGCAGGGCACAACACGCCACGCAAGCACTCTTTTTTAGTCGACGCAGCCCGTGCAACAAAAAATAATAAACTTACCGGCGATCCACGCACATTTTGCCTGAAGCCTCCTACGGGTTTTGCCACGTGGACGGCGTGACATCTGTCCACGGCAAGACCAATAAGGTAATTCACTTTTTGTTATTGTTTTTTGTTGCTAAACGGCTGAGCTTTAAAGATGCGTAGACCAAGAGCGTACATCAAAGACGAGCTGAGCATGGTAATAATTGATAATCTCTGGTTTCAAGCACCGTGATTAGTTTGGCAAAATATATAATAGGCAACGTTTTGGATAGGCATTCTATAAAGAAGGGCCATTGCCCGAAACATCGCCAACTGTACTCTTTGGTTCTTTCGGTAAAATAATAGATCGCGACGTTTCGATCGCAACACAAGCGATCGTCATCAGGTGGGACAAGAACACTTGCTGTGTTTGTCCCACCTGATGAAGGTCGCTTGTGTTGCGATCGAAACGTCGTGATCTATTGATTTTTCTACCCACGTGACTTTACCGAAAGAACCAAAGAGTATGGATTCCTGCAGTCACGAAAGCTTCAAATCAAGATCGCCTACTGTGTATGTTTCCCTTTAAGGCCACACGGGAGTTATTAACGAATGTGCCGAGTATGGACACGAGTGGCAGGGCTTTGAAATTGCCACGCAAAAGGCAACGTGCGAGGGAGCTGTGCCTGTGTACTTCGAATTCAATCAACCCAATGTTTATTTTAATACACGGAAAGGCCCATTTATCCAGCGACACAGGTGCTTCGGAAGGGAGATCCGAATTAGAACATTGACTACAAACAGTGTGATAGGCGTCCATATATTACCAGAGGATGTTTCTTTTTAATGCACGTTGAGGTTTGTGATGAAAAAAGTACCAACATTAATTTTAGAATGGGAGTCGGGGAAGGAGGAGGTACACGTTAGCCAAAGTTATTCACAGCGACATTCGAGGATTCATACTTTGTTTACCTTGGGCGAGATCATGCAGGTAGAATGTGAATTGGCATATTTGGCCACGTGCTCCCTTGCTTTGATTGGGTCTGTCACTTGGTGGAGGGTTATAGTTAACATTAACATACCGACAGAATCTAACCCAAAATAAACTAATTATGAGTCATAAATATTGGTCGTGAAAGCCTTGGCATTAAATTAACCAACATTGGAAGATACTTACAAATATTACACTCAAGAAATTAAGGCAGTAACATTATATTTGCAGAATACGTGAACCAATTACACAATTTTCCTGTGACATGAAGTTGTAATTATGACTTGGCATTAAATTAACCAACAATGGAAGATACTTACAAATATTACACTCAAGAAATTAAGGCAGTAACATTATATTTGCAGAATACATGAACCAATTACAAAATTTTCCTGTGACATGCAGTTGTAATTATGACGAACTACAGAAAATGATTGGAGAACTTGAAAACAAGGTTGGATATTTGGACTCCATATAAATTCAAGCCAAAGAAAACTCCTTTTGGCTTGAAATGCATTTAGAAGGACAATTGTCTAATTATTGTATATTAGCATAAGTTAAGAATGTATAAATAGTTTGCTGAACGATTGAAAACCACCATCTTTATTACGTACATCTCAGGGAGTTACCGAGTCAACTATGAAGCATGCCGGTCTGATTTTGGAAAACCAAATCTATTTATACTTGTGTGATAGGCAACTCACCAATGCGGCTCAATTGTAAAACTCATTTATAAATTGTAAACTAATTTCTCCTGCACCGCTTTTTGTGTTTAGTTTGTTGTCCTTCCCGCGCACCTCCGATTATTAGCACGGTTGGGTACGTACGGTGCAAAAGAAGTTCAACGTACAAACATAAATAAGACCTTTTCATACTCTTTGGTTCTTTTGGTAAAGTTACGTTAGATGCGAGGTGACTTTACCGAAATACCCGAAGAGTATGGATTCCTGAAGTCACGAAAGCTTCAAATCAAGATTAAGACCTTTTCAATTAGTTTACATCATCTGCTATCGACAAAGGGAAATGGAACAGATCCTAAACATTGCACAGAAGCACGTGGAAATGATGAGCAACATTGGAATTGCACCGCAAGGCAGGGTAAGACGGGCATCGAAGAACAAAGGGCACGCTACGGACATCATCTCTACTTGAGAATTGTAATTGGGCAGGGACACGTCACTTGCACGGGGCGATGGCTCCGGTGGACGAGGCTGGTGATGGAGTGGCAGGGGGGGTGGTGGGAACCGTTCCTGAGAGGCAGTCGACCTCGCCGAGGGGACAGTCGACCTCGCAGAGGAGGCAGTCGACCTCGCAGAGGAGGCAGTCGACCTCGCAGAGGAGGCAGTCGACCTCGCAGAGGAGGCAGTCGACCTCGCAGAGGAGGCAGTCGACCTCGAAGAGGAGGAGACAGTCGACCTCGCAGAGGAGACAAACACGGTGGTCAGCTCGCACGCCGAAGGGCTTCGGTTGGATCGTTTACGTCACTGAATCGGCGGCTTGAGATGTGGCGACGGCTCGGGGGAAGGCGTTCATCCAGCGGTGGATTGAACATGGTCGCTCATTGTGATGTTTAAGCTATAGACAATCTAATATGGCTTTAGGCCCATGGCTGCAAGCACATTTTACATAAATAAAAACCTCAGTTAAGATGAACTGGGCACATCATGTCATGGGGCATTTTATTGCCAGTATCAAAATATGAAAAATAAGAATAGGAGTTAGGAGTGTAAGAATAGGTGTTATCCTTTCTGGCAAATAAAACAGGTGTTAAGATGTTCATACATCAAATAGATAAATTTTTGGCACATCGTCTCTGCGGCAGAGTATTAAAATTGATTGGTAGGCCTTCTCGTCCCGGGGAGACGAAGTTACTGTACATTATTTGAATATTACATCCTCATTCATTGCTTAATTTTGATGTGAATATGCGGTTTTCAGTTACAAGCATGAAAAAATACGTGTACTATTTAAGTTTAATCATTGTACATCCACACACTTAAACTCTATTGTAAATCCAAACATTCTATACATTGAATTTGGGTGGTTCCATTGATGCATTCTGGGTGTTGAGTTATTGTTAACCGCTGACATTTACACATTTAGATTAATTTTGCTGTTTAGCACAGTCTCCAACCCCCTCTATTTATGTGCTACGGAGAAGGCCCGTTGCCCGAAACGTCGCCAATTTAACTGTGTATATATATTTCTTATGAAGGCCACACGGAAATTATTGACAAGCGTGGTGGTGAGTTGCTTCTGTTGCCTGTTGATGGTACAGCGCTTGCCAAGGAATCAGCAAAATGCAACAGCAGCAGCATCACCAACATAGTTTGTGTAATTGTTCATGGCGTTATTGAACACATTTATAGTGATAGCTCAACACATTTATAACTCTCGCAGATTTCAATAAAAGTTCAACATTTCTTTTTTTCTCCACCCGATAAGGAGTAATTCAATATTTTGCGGGGTTGAAAAAAAAATCAATTTCAAAGGGCGATTGTCTCATTTTCTTATTGGGGGGTTTCGTGTGCTGTGAAGAAGGCCCATTGGCCAAAGAAGTAGCCGATTATATAATTTCTAACAAAAAAACACAACAGCGTCATTGACGATTGTGGGTTTTGTCTGTCATTTGTTATTGGTGTCAGCGCGTTACTTCGTGGGGAAATAAATCAGCGGCATATTCCGCTTGGGTCGTTCGGGGCCGTAGCGAGAGACGAGAAACGCACTGTTATTGCACGGTTTCAAAATCTACCACAGTGGCACGATTGACTTCCTTCGACGTATAATTACCACAATGGATCTTATTGCTGTTGCACTTTTCTTAACGACTTAATTACAGCTTATAGCGAACACAACAAATAAAACCACTCAACACACACTTGCGTCAGCCAACAACACTGCCTTCAAATTAAAATATGGACGAATAATTTTTAAAAAATGATTATTACACTCAGTGATGTTTGTGACAGTGGCCCTCAGTGTGTTTTTTCTCTATTTCAAGGCCACAGTGTTGTCGAGGAATGTGTTATTAATTGTGCTTGTACACCACTTCCAATGCAGCAGCAGCATCACCGCATCATTCAACTAAACTATGAACTGTGTTTTTTTTATTTTACCAGGTAAGGCCCCACTGAACTATGTAGCTCTATTCCAGAAGCGACCTCGCATTCACAAGTGATAGCTCAACAAATGGCTTATCGCGTGGACATTTATAGCAGCCAAACACTCTAATCGCACATTGATTCTAAATGTGGAGGAAGGACCCGGAGCAATAACCAGAAGCAATAACCTTGATTCCCATAATGATTATCATGAAAATATCACGAGCTTTCCAAACGAGGTTATTGATGATTTTGTTAACACTGCAGTGCAATCCGCAGTGGCACGAACCCATCACTCTAATAATGCGAATGTTAACTACCTCTCCTGGTATACCGGAGGTCGTGGGTTCGATCCCTGATCCATCACACCTGCTGTACATTTGGAGCTTACGTATTCTCCCCGTGGTAGCGTGGATTTTTCCCTGGGTCCTCCGATTTATCCCTTCACATTTAGAATCAATGTGCGTTTAGAGTATTGGGCTGCAATACATTTCCATATGATAAGCCAACTTCGTTGAGCTATCATTTGTGGCCAGGTCGCCTCTGAAAAATAGACATACAGCTCAGTAGGCCTAACCTGGTAAAATAAAAATAGTTTAGTTCAATAGTTGAAAAGTACATAGCTTCTGCTGCCGTTAACGTTGTTGATAACTGATTATGACGGCTCACTGCGTACTTATCTTTGTATTGTTTTAGCAAACGCAAAAGTTTTTGCTCCAGCCCTGAAAAGTGGAAAAGCGGAAAGACCTGCAAAAGATGTTTCCAAACAAGTAAGTGTCCTCCGCAAGGCTGACACGCCACCATCGCTCACGAGGGTAGGTCCAACGCCATCGACCCAATGACCAACTCGATTTATCTGCACGGCCTCGGGACTGAGACTATGACGGCGACTAGATTAACACTGATTGTCACCCACACAGATGTATTGCTGTGAAGGGCTTAACGCGACTGTTAGGCTCCCAGTCTCCCAGGTTGCTACTGCATTCTTGCCTATGGCAGGCAATATGTTCAGTAGCTAAATGCCAATGTCAGGGCTTGCTGGCCACGACGAGAGGGCTTCACGTGAGAGTTTGTACTTCGTTTGGTCACCGTCTCTGCAGTCATATTGTGGACAATTCTCTTTGCCCCTTCAGCAAAACTGAATCTGTTTGGCACGGACTTAATAATACTGTATATACCAGCATACAAAACTGGGTAAAAAGGCAACATATCTGTGGAGCTTTTTTTTTCTTGAATAGATGCAGACACGTGCATAATTTGGCCAAAGGTGTTCGCTAATACTCGCATTGAATTTCTTGCTGGGCGCGAAGGGAAATTTCCTTCCGTTTTAATTCACATTCTGCTGAAATTGGACCTATTCCTGAAACAATAGGACCACAGGGATGTATTTTCATCGCTGACATTTTCCAGTGATTGTTTTTTTTGTATGAGTAAACAGTTGTGCAGCATCATTTATTTTTTGTTTAATTATAGAAACATCCCGTTAACTTACAATGGAGGTTCCATTCAATTTGGCAACTCATGACATAAGACCCCACATTTGTAAGGCGTTAAAGGTTAGAGTTGTCACCGTTGTTAAAGGTTATGGTCGTAAGGTGTTAAACGTTAAGGCGCAGATAAGGCTGCTATGCATTTACATGACTGGTCATGATTTTGCAGTGCGATGCACGTTTTGCCACGATGCTGTGTTGCGTAAACACGTCACCGTGTAACCTGGACTGCTTCTTCAGCTCAGTGTCAGAATCACAATCATAATTTTATCCTGAAGAAATCCGATGAGCTACAAAGCTCTTTTTGTCACAGACGTCCAGTTGGGGACGCTTCAGAAAGTCACAATAACAAAAGAATACAAAGGCAATGCAGTGTAATGGCAAGGCAAAAAAACATCTTGGTCAAAAAGTACAATTGAAACCAGTTTGCCCACTTTCCAGGAAAACCAAAGAAGCCACAAAAGGCACTGGAAACATCGTGGAATGACCTGGCGGCTCGCTGGCTTGGTTGTTTAAGGCAATTGCATGATGTGGAAGTTGAAATTCACAGATCATTGTCCCTGATACTGGTAGGAACCTCCTGGTTCCACAACCAGGCCACAGGGGATTATTGTGTCCGACCGTCCGTCGTGCACCCAAAAATGGGAGGGGTGGGGCTGGGTGGGGAGGGACGGGTGGGGAGGGGAGGGTGGGGAGGGGCTGGGTGGGGAGGGACGGGTGGGGAGGGGAGGGTGGGGAGGGGCTGGGTGGGGAGGGGGGGGGCTGGGTGGGGGGTGAGAGGGGTGGGGTTGGGTGGGGAGGGGCTGGTCACCCCGTGGTGCCCTTATAAAACTCAACGTTTAACCTACTCACGCCGGCTTGTGTCCGCCCTCACAGTCGAGCATATTGTGCGGAATACACCACGTGGTGCCGCCGTTGACCCTGGCCATTGACCGAGTAACCCGACGTTCCTACCAGCTCCCTCCGCAGGAGAATGTGTTAATAATGGCCTTTGAAAAAATTGTCCGCTCTGTTTGTTGCTTGATGAAACAAAACATCGCGTCTCTTTACACTACAGCTGCACCATTCATCTCCAGTACAGTGGCCGTTATTATTGAGAACAAGTCATATTGCATCATTGGCAACGTTTCAGGCGATGGCCTTCTTAATGGCACAACATTTTAATTCACAAATGTGTTGAGTTTTTATTGTCTGTGCTTGTTGCACGACTGTGCTTACAGCAGCATCACCAATTAATGTGTTACACGTTAAATACTGTATAATAATGGCATAAATAATGGTATTCTTAGCTCTTTCGGTAAAGTCACGTTGAAGGGAAACAATAAAATAATAAAAAATATATAAAACAATAAAAATTCTCACGACGTTTCGACCATAACACAAACGGTCGTCATCAGGTGTGAAAACCAACGGCAAAAAACATTTGATGATGACCGTTTGTGTTATGGTCGAAACGTCGTGAGAATTTTTATTGTTTTATATATATTATTATTTTTATTGTTTCCCTTCAACGTGACTTTACCGAAATAGCTAAGAATATCAATTACTGCAGTCACGAAAGCTTTAAATCAAAAAATAAATAATAATGGTGTTTAGCCTTACATTATGAAGTAAGGCCGAGGTATACATTAAGTAGATTTAAAAGGTTGACAATGAAAATGATTAATTTGCCATGATTTTTAAATGATTTATGTGACGGGTACCAGTCTAAATTGTGTAAGGTCTAAAATAAGTAAACGTGAACCATCTATTATAAAACCCGCCATTCCGTTTTTCCGTCAACTAAATTATAAGAGCTTAATTCTAGATTTGAAGCTTTCGTGACTGCAAGGATTCATACTCCTTTCAAAAAGCCTGAATCAAAATGTTATAGAAAGTGGAACCCCCCTCCTCCCCCCAGATGTGGGGGTAAACAGTTGATCCAACAGGTCTACAACAATTGTTGACCATCCCCGACCCCAAAGAAAAATTATTTATTTTGTAGGCATATATATAGAGTATCCATTGTAGTAGAGCCAGTAGTAGAGTTAGTGGTATCTACTAGTAGAGTCAGTAGTATGTACTGACTCTATAGTAGTATGTAGGGTGTGTAAGGTATATATGCCTACACACCCTACATACAATAGTCAGTAGTTTCTGCACACATTGGGGGAGGTGGGTGTAGGGGAAGAAGAGGACATGAGAGGAGGCGACGGGCGAGGCGAAACCCCTCGTAGGAGCAAGAACGAGGCAGTCACAGGCCGCCGATATTCTAGTTTATATATAAAAACAAACTGATACAGAGTTTGCATGAAGGTTGAACTGAATTACAAATGAAATCGGCAAGAATGTATGTACTTCTGCTATTTGTGCTTATTATGTTTTACTTATTCACATGTATTTACTTATTTTAGTGACTTGCTTACCTTGCCTGTACTTTGCACTCCTTTCGTTTATCGATTTGTTTGTTGTGGCTTTCTGACCCCGTGCCCCCCACTGGACGTCTGTGAAAAAAGAGCTTTATAGCTCATCGGATTCCGACAGGATAGATACATAATAAGATTTTGATGCCGAGAAGCGGCGTCCCCCGCACAAGGCGACGCGCATTCACCGAAGCTATTCCCAGAGGCGTTCGTGGATACTCTCAAAGGCACGGCTGAATGTAAACGGGGCGATAGAGAGAGCGTGTGCATCATCTTGGATGCTTTTTTGGCCGACGACAGTCATTGTAACGTTAAATTGTGGATGAGCTAGGGCAGTGGGGAGGTCGGCAAACCAAAATAACCGGGAAGAAGGGACATTCTTTTTTTCGAATTCGGTAAAACTAAATAAAACAAAACTCTTTCAAGAGGCTTAATGCACGTCACGAGGAAGCAGTCCCTTAAAGAGCCGGAGCCGCTGGTTTGGCGACCCCTGAACTAGAGGGGAACGAACCGTCAGAAGGGCTTCATGAATATGGCTGTCAAGTTGGACCCAAGATAAATGACATTTTAGGAAAAAGAGTCCCCACGTTCACGTTCAGGACACAACTGGAAAACACAGCAGCGGCGATCCGTGCAGGAAGGACAGTCGGTGTAAGCCGACTTGAGCTGTTGTCAATCTGGATACCGGGGGATCGTTGATCGATGTTCGGTCGCCAGGTCCATGATGGCATTGGTCGGGATTTCTGTCTTCACAGAGCGGGCCGTGTGAAGGCTGCCATTTGCCACTCCGGCTGACTTGTGGAGATCACGTTTATGAAATAACGAGGCAGATGCGAGTAGATTGGAGTGCTTGGGAAAAGTGAGCTTGATCATGAAAAGCGTAATATTATGATTTCAATCGATGCGTGTTACCTGGGAAAATGATCGATACAGAGAGTCGGGGAAGACGGTGGATGAAGTTCACTTTGAACAATTGGATGCAACCGGGAATATCGAATGCAAAGTTCTTGAACAATATCATGTACAGAGCTAAATGCAAGGAAGGACACGATTGAAGACGTTGAGAAAGGACAACGCTCACAAAGAGAGAGAGATGAGCTGCTGTTATGTACGGAGTGGTGGGATATTGGAATGAAATCTGAACAACACACAGAGATGCTTGCTTGAAAATGACATTGCAACAAGGGGACACGTGGATTCGAGAACAATACACGGGTTAGAGAAACCATTCTGCCTGCGTATTCGCAGTGTGCCTGTAGTTAAATCATACACCAGGCTCTTTAACGTGCGTATATAGTGTAAAAAAACAACAACTAGAACCTGTGAATGGGAATTGTAATTTATAGACCCTAGGACTCGGGGCCACTACTGGACATCTGTGAAAAAAGAGCTTTATAGCTCATCGGATTCCTCCGGGAACAATTAAATATTCTGATACTGTCATTGACCTGAGTTCACGTCTAAAAAGCAGCCAACTACACTTCAGAATATGCATTTATTACTGGAGGAATCCGGTGAGCTATAACGCTCTCTTTCACAGATGTCCAGGAGATGAACGCAACGAATAGAGAATAAATCAAATGAATTCTAAACAAAATTAAATGTATGACCCGTTCCTGTGCGTTCGTTAATATTGCAATGCTTTTTCTAGCTTGCTACAGTATCTGTTATCGTACTATGATTCGATTCTCGCTCACGACCAATAACGTTGACTAATATTTGAACCGGTCCCGGGTCTCCCCTAGGTCTACTCAGCCTCAAATGGGTAACTGGTGCGGTGTGTAGTAAACATCGCCACTGGGGAGACAAAGGCGGCCAGGCGTGGTGCTGGCCACCCACCCCCTCGTGTGCCGTGCCGGCCTTCACAGGTGCTCCTCG